CTATGCTATGCTATGCTATGCTATGCTATGCTATGCTATGCTATGCTATGCTATGCTATGCTATGCTATGCTATGCCATCCCATCCCATCCCATCCCATCCCATCCCATCCCATCCCATCCCAGGTGGTGGTCTATTTGGGTAGGGTGTGTTTAAAGCACATAAATCTTCATTTTCCCTTTTTAATGTTTTCAAACATATTTAGTTTTATGATCTCTACTCACCTGCCTTACTTGAAATTGCAGGATTATTCTCACATGTAAAATAAAGCACACATGTGTTGCAAGGCTTGGCAGTGGGTGAGTTGAACTACTGATTCTGACACTTGCTCATGCTGCATCATATTCAATGTGAACACAAGGGGGAAATACTGAGATGTGAATTAGAACAATAAACAAGGACATTAATATTAAAAGGTGGCAGCTGATACCACAACTGGGGCAAAAAGACAAGAAAAAGCAAAAAAGCAAGAAATACTAGCACATCTTAATTATGGTGCAGTAAAGCAAATTGTATTCTCATTCTTTGGACTTTTTGAGGGTCAGCACACAAATGGGTCAATAGCTGCTTTTTGTTGACCTAAGTTTGCTTATATCCATACACTATTACAGACTGGCAAAATCCACCCTCTCTGTCACCAGGATAATGCTGCTTCCTTGCAGATGATTCCTAAGCTGATTCAGAGTCACCAGCAAACATTCTGGTGTGGATAAGCTGCTCTGTCACTGCAGTGGCAGGAGCTGTAAGTGCCCATGATCCCCTCTGACATTTGCAAAGGAAGCTTTTCCATACCGAAGGCAAGCAGCACCAGTCAAAGCAGCTGAGGGTGCACACACTCCACTGCCACTGAGAGCTATAAACTAACACACATTCAGTTGAGCCAGGTCCTAGGAATGAAGGACTGAAGCTCTTCATTGCAGCCCCACTGCTGGCAATGAGATACAATGCTGTTCCAGAATCCTCCTTCACAATACTTGGCCTCCATAAGGCAGAAAAAATGTAAAACTTGCCTTTCAGCTGCACAACTGTGTAGCAGCATCCACTTCAGCTTGGAGAGGAGAAATCATACTATTTCCTTTAACAGTGATCAAAACAATGTAAAGAACAATTAGTAGATAATCAATCTTGAAAATACTGAGTTCCCTTCTATATATTACTAAAATGATTCAGTAGACAAGCTTAGCAGATATTTCATATCACATTCATTGTATGAATTGAGCAAAGTGAGCTGGTATACTGTCTTTCCCATGTCTAGTTTCCTAGTGTATACAACTTGTTTCCTCAGCTTTACAAATAGCAGGTTAGCCACACAATTTATAGAACTAACAAATTATTTGCCTAATTGGATAAAAACAAAAAAAAATATTTATTTGCTATAGGATCATGTTTTATTTTGTGATTTTACAACCAGAAAAAAAAAACAATTACAGACAGCGTTTTAGCAATACAGCATGGAAAGAATAATAGAAAAGGAGAGTTAGTAACATCTGAGAAGTCATCATGCCCTTCCACAAAATAGAGAAGAAACTGTATTAGTTGGGAACTCATTTCCAGAGACATGAATCAAAAGATGTATTTAAGATAAACCGTGTATGGTAACAATTTCAAGAGAGAGGAAAACATTACAATTAAGACAAAACAAAGTTACATCTTATAAAGAAAGAGATCACTACCTTTTTATGCAGTGCATGGAATTCACTATACCTCTTCTCCACAAAATGTTTCCTTCCACTCATTAGCACCTCTATTTTAAAGACCTGAAAATGATATATAACAACAAGGAGATTAACGTTACCCATGTCTGTGACAGCACATTTTAACACGGTCATTCCAGTAGGGGGTCCCAAAAACCCCATTACACAAAGAAGTAAAACAATGATTAATGGGAAGCATGGCTGAATCTTCTGTTAACAAGTTTGTTCAACAAATGTACAAAAATAAGTTGAGCTTGGACTGTATACTGTACATCAACAATTAAGCATTAAAATATTCCCTTTCAGAAATACTTAATACAGTTTGAAGTAGTAAGATTTTTTAAAAGGATGGTAAGAACAAGAAAAAAAAAAAAAGAGAGAGAGAAAAGAAATAAAGATTAATTCTTTTTGCCCTCTTACAATATGGCATACTAACACAGTCACATGTTCAGAAAGAACTGGATAAGAGATGCAGTATGTTATGCATGGAAAAGAAGAAATAAATGCAAACACTGTGTTGCAGGTTAATTTCCTCCTTACCTAGAAATTAAACTGTAGTCTTAATTGAGCTTGTACTACTATTTACACCCTAGGAAAAAAAAAAAAAACAAACAAAAAACCAAACCCAAAACTACAGAAAAACACCACAACAAAACCAAACCAAAACAAAAACCAAACCCAAACATGGGAAATGCTTGTTTTCTTTGTATGATACATGTGACAGCTTTTGTTGCTGCCTCTGGAAGGTTGAAAGGGCAGGAGAAGAAGCTCTCTGGATCCACTAATTAGCAGTCACTAACATGACATTTTCTTGATTTTTAGGTTACTGGGTCAGTTCTGAGGGCAAGTGATGAGAAATATTTTGAAGTACTCAACAAAACATGGTCTATTAAATGAAGACAAAATCAGCAGAAAAGCAACACTGAAAAGGTGCCTGGTCTATCTAGTTCTTTTCTGTTTTGCTCAGAAAATGCTGGAAATAATTATTTCCAGGACAATGAGAGATGATATTCAGGACAGATGATTAAATCAAGGCTTAGGCCAAACAAAAAGTTCTTTGAAACAAATTTGCAAACAGGTTTTATGCCTGAATGCAGAAAAAAGGGTTTTCTGTCACAACACACCCAGCTAGCATTGATCAGAACAACCATAAAGAAACCATGTTGGATAAACATTTTCTGTTGTCCACTAGAACCTGCCTTTTAAACAGGTCAAAATGCTATGGTTTACACCAGTTAGCCAAACCACATTAAAAACAGACAGCATTTTATTTAATCCAGACTGAAACGTGTCTGCACCATTTAAATGCAGCATGGATAGGTCTGAGGTCATTTCACACCAATGTTTACATTACCAAAATTAGCTCAGATTGGTGTAACAACTTGTACTACATTCTACCTCTTTGAAAAAGACTATTTCTGTGTCCTAATCACTGTGAGTAGACAACCTTTTATGGGTGCATTGATTTCCTCTCGCTGCCCACCATCTATTTAGACTATTTTGGGAGAACAGCTATTGGCTATTAAACAATTTTCCTCTACATGTGAAAAAACTCCAAGGCACCCCTAGGAATATGTTGTAAATTCAGAGTTGTAAAGAGAATCACATGCAAAGAAAAATCAATGTAGGCTTTTTTCTTTAGTTGAGACTTAATATCCTAATTATATGAGAGGAAAACATTATTTACATCTTATTTTCTACCCACTGTATGAAATGAATAGTTCTGCAAGGAACAAAATGGTTTGGATTGCACAGGAAAATTGAAGAAGTTTCAAGGGTAATTTGGATACAAGACTGGATAACAGAATATGAAATTAGTTAAATTAGAAGTGACAGTGAGTCATTAGTTACAGTTTTGCAACAGTTTTGAAATAACTTGATATTAAATCTCCAGGAACTACAAGCAACTCGTTAACACCCACTTACACATCATTCAGCTAAGAGCCACAGCACCACTGTTAGTTTAGCAATTCTGCTGGCTACAGGCTGTTCCAAGCAATTTGGAGAAGTCTAAGGGGCTGCTGCCTTAGCTCTAAGCACTCCCTTGACAGGTAACCTTCTTGTGAATCAGTTTGGCTTGTGCAGTGTCATTTTGGTTTTAGTCATATTATGTACAACTTCAGACAAACATCTCATCTGAAGTCTATAAACCTGTCATTTCATAAAGGAGATTAGTTGAATACAGGGAAGAAAGAAAATATAAATTCCTCTGTGGATCTTCTTCTCAAAGCATGTATCTATTTTGTTCTGTTTCACCACTGGTTAAGGAATTACAGAAATGGCTTCAGAACACCAAAAAATATGCAGCATTTATTCATACTCCTTTTTAATTGTAGCAAAATTTTAATCACTGTTTGATAATTTTTGCTAATAACATGAAACTAAAGAATATATTTGCCAGTCACTTTTGAAGAAGACATGAAAAAAGAGTCCCAAAGCTTCCCATGCACAGTGATGTCATTTCCAAACCCACAGATGTTCTACCTTTACAGCCTCAACCAGTTGTACCAATATAGAGGCTTTAACTTTGCCTCCTACTGTCCAGAGCCCTTGGATCCAGCTTTAGTAGCCATTTAAAATTTATAAAGATGAATAACAGATCTGCTATGGATAAGGTTGAAAATTACTGTTAGAAAACAAAACTCTGCAAATGGCCTTTCTAATCTACCCACTGTGGCACCCATGTTTCAGAAATACAAAGCAATTTGTGATAACTTAAGTGGACAATCTGTAAATATTTTTGTGTAAGGCAAATCTAAACATGAAATTGATTTACAGAGTAATTTATAAATCAGAAATGCAAGTAAGTGAAATAACATATATTACGCTTATGAACTTCATATTACTAAATAACTTGATTTAGACAGCATAAATTCCAGGTTTGCCGCCTCACTGTTTACCAGATCACAGTTCACAAGAGCAAACTAAAAGCAGTGAGTTTCTGTTCTAAAAACATGGCTTTGTGTGAAAGACAAAAAGATACATTAGCTTACGAAAGAGATAGGATCCATTCATGGATTCAAAATAACTATAGACAAATCACACAAATTTAACTGAGCAATTGCAGGCCCTGACAGAAAAACAATGTAAGGAAACTGGTGAACATAGATGAAAGTGCCAAAATAAAGATGGAAGAACTATGGGGGGAAAAAATGCAACACTGTAAGGAAATGACTTTTCTTGTGAAAATATTCATGTTCTGTGAACAGATAACTCTGGAAAGACATATGACTTTTTATAAATGACAGTTAGCTAAATGAAAAATGCAACAATTAATCACTGAATAAGACAAGTAAAATGCTTTTCCCATAGTTACTGAAATACCAAAAATTACACAGCACTGACAGATTTGCAGCTCATCCTAACTAGGACACAAGGGACCACAGATACTGAATACACCAATTAGAAAACTCTTTATGAGTACTCTGAGACTAGAAATTTCTCACCTTTCTTGGTTACTACCACAACAGTTAACAAGATGTTTGCACAAAGTCAGAAAGATCATTATCCATTAAAAGCATTCTTCCACAGAATTTAACCCACATGTATGGAATAAACACCTGTGGATTGGGTATCAGTATGAATAATATTGATCTTCTGAGCAGCAGAATTGCAGATCCACCATTGCCATTCATAACCATCAAACCTGTGAAGGAAACTCTTCAAGAAGAATTCCTAAGGTTTTTGTTAATAAAATAGTAAAAACTTTCAGGTCTGACTACAAAACAGATTTACATATGATTTAAAAAAAAACATACCCAAACTTTGGTGTCTCTTTTCTTTGCCCGCACTGTGTTCCAATGATATGAATTATATTCAGAATTTGTAAACCGTTTTCTTCATTTATTATATGTTAGCAAGTACGCCTAATTTTGCTGTTTTCTTGAATTTATCTGTTTTGTTAACAAACTGGTTTGTTTTGAATTTATCTGGTTTGTTAACAAACCTCTAACTGAATGATCCCTTTCTGCTATTTTCAAGAATACTTAACATTTATTGCTGCAGAAACTGGACAGTACCACACAGTTACTAAATTGGATTACATACAGGCAAACAATTGGTACTGCATCAGTGTGAATTTTCAAGACAGAAGGCACAGATGGAAGTAAATAGGTACCAATAAGACATACAAGAACCACCCACACCTTCCTGTGAGCATGGGCTCAAGTGCACATCAAGAACTGTGTGGTAAATAACATTGATACTGGCCTCATTCAATTCTCACCTATGTCAAATGCTTACATGGACACAAAAGGGCATCTTTTATCTGATAATTTGATGTGAAAATATGCAGCTCCAGTAACATTATCTCAAAAAACCCAGAAAGATCAGTTTAACAAAAAACAGACAAGAATGAGAAACATGACCAGAAGTAGGGAAGAAAACTAAAGAGAATAGGAACTTCTTAGCTTGATTTTCTATTACATGAGAAATACACATGTGACACTTTTATATTCATTCATGGAAATTACATTACAGATTATAATTATGGCAAATTAATATTATCATATTGTGTATACTTAAACATGGAAAAATGAATTGCAAAGTATATAAACCAGAAAAATTACAGTTGAGAAAGATTTGTGGTAGCCTTTTTAAAAGAAGGAGATTCAAAAAACAGAAGCAGAAAAAGAGGTTTAAAAAAACCCCAATACATTTGTCTAATATTCATCAGAAAAGAAAACCCCACAAAATTCTAGTACTATGCTTTTCTCTCTCAAGACCAAGCTTACAAACACTAATGCTTGTAATACTACTACTAACACTAACACTAATACATTACTTATAGAAATAAATACTTCCCTTTAGATGACTCAGTATGCTTGACAGACTTTTGTTGGAGAAACAGCTAATGCATTCAAAGTGTCAAGAAACTCAACCTTAAACCTTTGTCATGGCAGTATGGAAGGAATTTCAGATCAAATGAAGTGACAGCTACGGTCCATGAAACACTAATAGGATTTCCACATGTTTAGCGTTTCATTATTGTTCAGACAATGGCACATTTTCTGTCTCAGTTGTGCTATGACGAGAACAAGACCACAGCATATAGGATAGATCAA